TGAATTGATCAGACATTTGCCTCTGAATAGTGAAGCAATATACTAGCTCTTAATGGTTCAAACCTCTTACTGGTTCAGCACTTAATGGTTCAGACCTCTTACTCGTTCAGCACTTACCGATTCAGAAGTTGCCAAACAGCACCTATGTCAATTGTAATTAAAATAAATTTTTTTAATAAATTAATATAAATATTCTTACATAATAATAGTATTTACTATTTAAGTTTGTATTTTTTCTTGTCCACCTAGTTTTTAATATCTTTTTTCATATAGTTACCTTTATTAATGTTTTAGAATCTTTAGTTTATTGAATAGACTTTTTAGTTTATTGAAATAAAAAAATAATGTTCATTTCTTTATTATAAAAATTATTCTAAAAATTCTTAAAATAAGAACCTTACACAAATGTATCTCTATTTTTAAAGAACGCAAATATAACTATCTTATTAAAATGTTGAAAGTTTTCTACGAATATACATTAGTTAGGTGCTATCTCAAAATGAAAGTTGTGCAATGAATATATCGAAACATTTATACACATAATAACAACCAATTCCAGAAGTGCACCTGGACGGAAATGATAGTGTTGGGGAAGAAGTTCAGGGTTTAATTCCTGATGGTGTAGAGTTTTGTAAAATAAAACAAAAGTTACATTAGACCCGTGAATTGAAATGTCTGCGCGAAATTGGGTCGCACAGTTCGACGAGTTTAACGGTTCTTTGCGGGTCAATCTAAAAACGCTTTTTGTTTAAGGACCAGACTGGACACTTGTTTGTGTCACAATTCAACCGGTTGGACCAACCAGCCTGGTCCAAGTTCCAAAACACTGGTTTGAAGCCGCTCTCTGCATTCACACTTATATTATTGAGTAGGAGTATTATTTTTAAAATTTTAGTGTGCCTCATTCTAAGTCATTTTTCTATAATCTAGCGAAAACTCCATATAAATGGAGTACATATACCTTACACTTGAATCTATGACGTTTTCTGTAGATTTGCATAAATACATATTTTCGAGTATAACTGAATTTTAAGAAAAATGAATATCTAATTAGATGAAAATAAGCATTCAATTATTCGAAAATAAATAACTGATTACTCAAAGTTGAATACTCGCAAGAGTAACTCCAAATAGGAAAGGTAGATTGAAAAGGTATTTGGCTTATTTTTACTCTCAAAAAGTTGGATATACCTTTCCAAAATGGTATTGATTACTCCGTATAAGAGCAAATCCAATGTAGGAGGTAAATCAAAAGGTAAAAAACAATAATTGTCAAATTTACATTTTCTTGACATAGGTTTATACTCCAATGCAGAAGGTAAATGAGAAGGTACTATAACTTCCTTAATTTTGGAGAGGTATATTTACTTTCTCAATTTTGGAGAGGTATACCAAACTCTTCTCTTTCTTTTAAATACCTTTATTTTGAGAAACATATATTTACCTTCTCATTTACCTTCTTCCATTGGAATCAGAACTTTTTACATAGGTATATCTACCTTTTTGAGAAGGTAAATGAGCAAAATACCTTCTCAATTTAACTTTTCTCTTTAGAGTTGCTTTACAATAGGTGAAGAGGGTAAATGGCAAGGCTATCTACTTCCAAAAACATTTTACCTTTTAGGTGTTGAGAAGGTAAGGATACCTTACCAAAATTGAAAATAGTATAATACCTAGTCATTTTTTAATGTATTATTAATTACACTTTTTTATTTTTTTTAAATACTACTTGAATAATGTCTAGTAACAGAAAAAATATCTAATGACGTTGAATATTTATTTAAACAATAACTAATGTACAATGATCAATAGTACAACATTAATAAATAGAAACATATAGTACGAAGTACTAAATTGGAAAAGTTATGTTAATGTTTTACTACTAAAAAAGGTAAATATGACCTATTGCTCTTTAGTCTTTACCTTTCCACAGTATTTGTTCACTTTTAACTTTTTTTTGGTCCAAATGGGTAAATTTTAATTTTAAATTAAATAAAAATGATATTAGATATTGATACAAAAAGAGTTTTATAAGATTGATTATATCAATTATTTTAAATATATTTTTTTATTTAATTAAAATACAATATACGGAGTGATGGATATAATCCACCAGTACCACCCGGCAAATTCACAGGCGCCTGGGGGTACCAAATTCTGGCCCCGCCTGACGTCACCAACCCCGGTAGACTGCTCGGGTGGATGTCGGGGGTCAGACATGTGAGATCGTGATTTCATTCGCATAAGGCTTAAAGTCTGACCAGGCTTGACCTCACCGTCCCCGTTAATCTGCCCGGGTGGATGACTTGAAGACTGCCCGGGTGGATGGCTTGAAGATTGCCCGGGAGGATGGCTTGAAGACTGCCCGGGTGGATGACCTGAAGACTGCCCGGGTGCATGACTTGAAGGCAGACCGACTGGAAGAACAGTAACGTCGGGACGTGCTTGACGTGCTTGTTTTTATTATAAATACCCCTAAAAGCCTCATTTGTGGGGCATGCTTTAATTAATCCACACGGCCTGTACTGATTGTAATAAGTTCCTACTTTCATTAATAACAAGCCGGGTTACAGGTGTTTCCACCTACAACCCTTCCGATTACTTATACTTAACATTTGCGTGATAATTTACACCATCAAATTGGCGCCACCCGTGGGACCTCTTTACAAAAAGAAGCCATGACGAACAACAATATGGAATCCATTATCTCCCATATTTCCACCCCGGTGGAGGGCGTTACCCTGATCCCGAGAGGAATCACATCACCACCTTTACTACTCAAACAACGCCTAGTCAAGCTTTCCAAAACATTGGACAATTTATGCCCATTTTCCAACAACCCGGCGGATTTAATCTTTTCATCCCTAGGATGTATCCCCATGCTTTGGCTCAAAATACATCTCTTCCCAACACGTTGGGGCATCCACCGTCGTTTCAATAGGCCAGTACCACCCGGTCGGTCATCCCGACAAAACCACCCGGGGAGCTGGAAAGGGCAGGCCCTTCTTGGTCTAGGAGGAGCAGATCCCACAAGCTCCACACTCAAGTCACACCCGGCGGGGGCGTGCGCTCTGTGCGCAGCAGGGATGAAGACTCGGATATTCCCAAGGGCCAGAAAAAGCTGCAGGGCAAAGCCGTCCAGCCAGAAGGTTCACGACAGTCAGTGTTCCAGAGGCTGGGACATGAGGGGCGGAACCAGAACCAACCGGCCAAAGAGCGGTTGGGGTTGAAGGTTCCCAAGCCAGGCAAATTCTACAGGCTAGAAGGTGGTAGGCGACCCGGTCAGACCGGGCGCTTTGACCCTTGCCTCCGTGATGAGCCCCAACACAGCAGGGTGTCTAGAGCGGAGGGCCAGGCGGAAAGCCAGCCCAGAGTGGCGATGCGCACACATGCTGAACCACCCAGCAACCAGGTGGACAGAGCGGAAGAACGTTTGGAGAGGCTCTTGAAGAGAGTTCGTAGGGAGGAAAAGAAGAAAGTGGTGTTGAACAACCGTTTTATCATCCGCTAAGACCGGATATGTACCGTGCCAATGTTCAATAAAGTTGATACTTTTTCAGAAAAGATGGTAAGATTGGTAGGGGAAGGTTGCCGACCCATCTGCCCGGTCAATGTTCAATCGAATTGAGCATTACAAAACCACCCGGGCAGAACACCATACTTTTTCAGAAAAGATGGTAAGACCAGTAGGGGAGGTTGCCGACCCATCTGCCCGGTCAGTGTTCAATCGAATTGAGCATCACAAAACCACCCAGGTGGAACACCATACTTCAAATCGAATTGAACTCCAAAAAAAAGAAGATAAAAGTATGTGACACAGGCCCGGCCTGGTACGCTGGTCTCACACCAGTCTTGCACAAATTAAAAAAAAAAAAAACTGCGACCCAGTCGAACTGGTACACTGGTCTCCATAATTTATGGGACGAGCCGTACAGCCCACGGTGCTTTTGGTACTCATCGATCCCAAACCCGAAGATCCCAATGTCATCAATCAGTTGTTGGGACACTTAGAATAACCGAATGCCGACCTCCCGGTCAGAAAGTGCCTGGACAGCAAACTTCTGCGGTTCCTGCGCAGCCCAAGCAACGGCGTGAACAGCCCGGTCAGAGTGCTCCGTCTCCAGCTCAGCCTTTAGCTGGGCATTCTCCACCTCTAGCTGGCCCGTCTGCCCGGCCTTCATCTGGAGCTTCTCATCTGTCAAGCACCTGACCAGCCGGGTGGCCCACTCCTGCCCGATCCGGGAAGAGGAAACGACGCGATGACTAGGCGGCGGCATACCAAGTTTCCGTAAAAACTTTCCCGCCAACCATACCCGAGGATTCAAAAAATTCAAAATTATTTAGACACTTGATTCCCGCCCTTGATGGTGCCCACAAAGCCGAGAATCGGAGGACTCCTTATGGATATAATCCACTAGTACCACCCGGCAAGTTCACAGGCGCCTGGGAATACCAAATTCTGGCCCCGCCTGACGTCACCAACCCCGGTAGACTGCCCGGGTGGATGTCGGGGGTCAGACATGTGAGATCGTGACTTCATTCGCATAAGGCTTAAAGTCTGACCAGGCTTGACCTCACCGTCCCCGTTAATCTGCCCGGGTGGATGGCTTGAAGACTGCCCGGGTGGATGGCTTGAAGATTGCCCGGGAGGATGGCTTGAAGACTGCCCGGGTGGATGACCTGAAGACTGCCCGGGTGCATGACTTGAAGGCTGACCGACTGGAAGAACAGTAACGTCGGGACGTTATTGACGTGCTTGTTTTTATTATAAATACCCCTAAAAGCCTCATTTGTGGGGCATGCTTTAATTAATCCACACGGCATGTACTGATTGTAATAAGTTCCTACTTTCATTAATAACAAGCCGGGTTACAGGTGTTTCCACCTACAACCCTTCCGATTACTTATACTTAACATTTGCGTGGTAATTTACATCATCACGGAGTATATTTTATTTAAGTACAGTATATATTAAATCTAGAAACAGCTTATCGGCTTCCTGTTGATTGCTGGGCGAAAGCTTCCTGTTGATTGCTGGGCGGCGGCGGTGGCGATATTTCCCAGATGAATCCTAGTGGCGAAATTCCAATGATTCCGGACTCCGTTCACCGGATGTGGCCGGAACTGGATGGTCTCGGATTCGGCGTCAAGTCCTCCCACCTGGGCGGTTACGTCCAGATCTCCCAACCGAGGAACGCGCGAGAGAGTTCTGAGAAGACAGCATCCAGATCTGCGATGAAATCCGCGGCACCAAATCCGCGAGATCTAGAAGAGAGTTCTAGGAGGAAAATCCCAGTGATCACAGACTCTTCTCGCCAGATGTTTGCAGAGCTGGAAGGCATCGAAATCAGAATGAGATCCTCCTCCCATGACTGGGCGGATGAGAGGATGAGCGAGCTTCCTCATGTAGACATCCAAAGGTATCATGAATTGGATGTTTGTCAAAGAATGAAGGTTCTGTGTGCAGGAATCGAGTCGCTATATCGCCAAGTCACTACCCAATCAGTGGGCTATTTGTTGATGGCGGCCTGGGGGCTAGTCTCTTCACAAAACAAACAGGTGTACGTCTTCCCTAAAGTCGCCATGAGTGGCCCTTGTGTAGATGTCACAGAGCTCGAACAAAGGGCACTGGTAACATTGGAAGGAACCGGCTTGCCTTTTGCCCGGCTATGGTCACCTCAGCAGAGGAATGCATTCGAGAGAACCGCCGCGTACATGTGTGCTGCCACTTTGAGGCTCATTACAAAAGATGAAGGAAGCCTTCACAGAGCCTGGAAATCCATCATGAGAAATTACAGCAACTTTTATCACGAAGAGCCTGCTTTTGAATTAACCCCGAACCTGGATTGTCTGGAGGCCATTCGGAATTTCCTTCAAGCGAGGAGACATCTTAAGGGCACGATTGCCTGTTTTCTGCTGGGGTTTCTACAACTCGAAGGACAGGATCGGAGATTGTGTAGTACATTGTTCGAAAGGGACATGGCTTACACAGGCATGCACGCCTACACACTGCTCATGTCTGTGACTGAAATGCTCCAAGCCCCACTGAGTGAAGTTATCAAGGTAGTCACACACCCATCTCTTGTTGATGCGCTGAGGACGATTGTGCACATCGTCCTCAAGTATGAATTGCCCCAGACTGACGCCGATAGGGAGCGTGCCATGGGAGCCAGGACATGGAAGTATGCACGAATTTTCGACAGCGCTCAGTTCGCAGCCATTCAGACAAAGAACTGTGAGATGTTGGTCGCGGTTCTGGCGACCATTGCGCAGAAGCTGGGTGGAGGTGGTGACGCGACCAAGATACATGGGATCTCTGGCTATCTAACAACCCGTCGAGACGTGTATGAAAAGCGTGCTGATGTGTTCATATCATACTTGGGTATAATCAATATAATCAATCGGTACCCATATTTGGGTACAAAATAGGTGCAGAGATAGAGTACTACGTGCGCGAATTTAAAGATACAAATCCCTCTCCCTAAAAAAAATCTTGCTTTATTGATGGTGGTTTTTTTGTGGATTATCACTACTTGCATTCTACCTATGACTTATACAATATGCGAATCTTAGATTTGGGACTCCAAAATTCACAAAGACCAGTATTTATAATTATATTCCCTTCATCGAAATTTAAGATACTTATTCACTGTCTACATGATTAAATTTTAACTATTTTTTACTCATTTCAGTTATTTATGTGATCAAATAATAGTCTTGTCACCACAATTTTTTGAAAATTGAATGGGAAAAATTTTTAGGCAAACATTGCATAGCGCAATAGACAATTTAAATTTATTAATTTAATTATATGTCACTATATATAACTACTGAGAAAGGAGTAGACATAGACAAAATTGGACATTGGGATGGCATGAATCGGGTTATGGTCGAATAAAACAGATTCGAATCAAACCAAATCAATAAAAAAAAATACTGATGATCATATGACAATTGAACTAAACAAAAGAAGTGTCAATACAATTCAAGCACAAACAAGCTTTCTTATTGATCTGGGGAGGTGTCAAAGAAGTGTCAAAAGGTTTTTATGCAATCAATAAAAGCCTGCCCAATGGCATTGCAAGCTTCTAGCAAAAATAAAAAGAGTTCATACAGGAAGGCGAGGCGAGGCGTTGTGTTCAGTAACAAAACAAAACAACCACGAATAAATAAAAAAGTAGACACATTTCTACTTGAGTTTTGCGAATAGCTTTAGAGCAACCTGCATTCCAAGAGTGAAGAAAAATCGTGTATAAAAACAGCCCTAAAAAAGCACGAACACAAGGAGGCAAAAAGGAAATATGTAATTATACTTACGCATTCGTCTATGCAATGCCAATAATCAAAATACTGTCCGGTGCAATGTTTGTTTCCGGTTTCATCTCCTTCAATCCTTTTAGCACATGCCTGTACGATGTAATGACATCCCAATCTTACTTACTATGCAGAATTAGACTGAATAGAGATGTTTGTATAATGGAAACAGGCATGCTCGAATGGAGAGTTTGAGTCTAGGAGAAGGCTTCGGATGGCTTGATCTATACTGTAGCAAAAATATTTGAGACTTCAAAAGGTTCAAAGATTAAAATGCTATTTGATCATATAACATTTTAATCTTCTTTTACTTGTTACAAATGGGTGCCCATGAGCACATGATAAAGACCAACCTATGTGTTTCATTATATAGTTTCAGGGGAAAAAAAGTGATTTATAAAATCAATATGATTGTGAAAAATGATTTTACAAATAGTGCCATTATCAAGGATAAAAATGTTATAAGCATTAAATGATCATTTATTGCTTCTTATCTTGAGGACATTGGCACACTTTATAATAACTCAAAGGGAACATTGTCTAGAGATACTTGTTACTAGATACATATGGGGCACTCAATCCACTCATTTTGGGGATTTCTTGTTTTCAGGAGGCCATTATTTTAACAACTACTACAACAACAACCAAGTTCAATCCCACAAAAGTAAGGCGACAGGAGGGTGTGTATGGTAGCAACATATATAAGTATAACACATCGCACGACATAAAAAAATTGAAAGAGCAAATCAAGGGTAAGAAAACTGTTTTCCGCCCAAGAATTACTACGCATATAAAGCAGAGGTTTTGGAAACACTTCATACGTAAAATGTAAGTATCCAATATTAGTCAACAAGTTACCATGACAAAAGCAGTTGATCTAGCATCAAGTTTAAACTGTAGGCGGTTTGGTAGTGCTCCAAGAATCTAGACCTCTATCATTCACCTACCAACTAACTTCTTGTAACTACGCATCGTAGCTTAAGCAGCTAAATAGACTATTGGGGTATGTTTGGTAGAATATTTTGGAGAGAAACTAGAAATACTATTATTCTAGAAGGCATTCAAACATACCCCAACAGAGCACCATAGGGCCCGGTCCTCAAATGACCTGATGTCATGGCATGACATTGGGCTTCAATGTCAATTAAACCACCACCGTGTTCTTAAGTATGCATTGGGTTACCCAGTTGTATTATGCTATTCACATTTTCTATGCCAGATAACAAAAGTAGGTCGCTGCACTATGTTACACTTGTTATATTGGTCATATTTCTCATCATTGCAACATAAAAGATTAACCATATATCGATCCAATTAAAGATTACAATCATCACTTCTAACATTATAGTTTTTTAATTGTAGGCCTTCACCATTTTAGATTGAACACTAGCCCATTGTTGATAGCAAAATGAAAGTCAAGGCATAAGGGAAGTAAAATATATAAGTTGCTAATGAACATATACTTCAACAAATATAAGATCCAAGAAATAGTTATGTTTTGAAGATGCAATGAAATTTTTGTTACAATCTTACATGATATTGGCGGAGTGGCTTGACACATTTCGGCTTACAGTTCTCTTCAAGTGTCTTCTTCTGATCTACAACTTCTTCATCCGACCTATGTTGTAAGAACAAATGAATAAAACATCTAATGTGGCACAACACAAACACACGTTGCATAATGCTTATCCATTTCCATATGCATACATATGTAGATTTGGGCTTTAGGATTTCAGAATGTGTAAGATATGACCCCCCTAAAATTTGGGGACCATTAGACCATATAGTAGTATATTAGAATGCCCTCCTCCAACACAAATGATTACCTACCTGAATAAAACACCTATTATAATTGGTAATTGAACCAACCTTCTCTATTTGGATTAAGTTATCCAGACTTGATACAAGTATCAGGGTAAGTCTAATCTATCTAAGACAGGGAGTCTTACTGGGCATCCTTTGCAAATGGATTAACATACTCTAAATCGAGAATTCCTCATTCCTTAATCAACCTTGGATTCTTTTTGAGATGCATATTGAGAAACCATTATGTGGAATTCTTAAATGAAAATAATTAGTAAGACTATATAGCCTCTAATAATATCATAAAAGGCAGCGTTTGGAGAGTTTCTAACACCTATGGCTTCCAGATAGATTTTTAGTCTCAGATTTTCATTTCAGAGACAAGCAAGGGGCTGGCAGGATCTGCAGGGAAAACAAGGACCAACTCATTACACTCATGTTTCAAAGAAGGCAACTACTTGTAGCTCTGTCAGATACCTTGGAGTTACAAATACTGCATGGAAATTAACCTCGGGGGATTTTCAGGCTTTCTCATATATAAAATGGCAGCATATATAAACATTAGGAGCAAAAATCTGTCATAACAATGTACACATGGATAAAATGCTTTATTTGGTTTAATGAACTTCTAGAGCCCCATTTTTGTACAAAAACAGAAAATTTTGGGCAGATTAAAGAAACTACGTTGAACTCACAGACGGCTCAGCATTAAAACATGAAACAATGGAACATGATGATGATGATGATAAGTGAGATCAAACGGACAACAGCAGAGGAGACCTTACAGGTAAAATTGGAAACACAACCAAACATGGGAGAATGATAATTTGGCTGCTGGACCAAACAGCCAATGCCCAGAAGATTAGAAGAAAATCAAGAAAATCATGCCCAGCAGAATCTGAAGATATACAGAGATTTAAATGGCTCAGAAGAAATTCAAGAAAAAGTTAAATGGAATGGGGATGTATGGATATGGATCTATGGGATAGAGCTAATGTGACTAAACATTGTTTACTTATATTGACACTATCCCATGGAAGACTGCAAGTTAAAAACAGGCTTGCAATGTTCATGCTGAGAAAGAAACAAAACGGTGAGCTTTGATACCATTATGAGGAGATGATCACACATTTTTTAAGTTTGCATAAATAGCATCGCAATCATGTTAGATGTGGCAACATGGTTGAAATGTACAATCCCCAAATATCAGGATGACTTGTTGAGGTGGATGATGAGAAGTATGACCAGTGGAGAATCCAAAGATGTCTTACTCCATGCACTATGGCAGGGCCTAATACCAAGTTTGGAAGGATGGAAATGCAAAGGTTTTGAAGGTCATGCCTTTGAAAAAGACAGAATCCATTAGACATATTAAAGAGGCCGTAAAAAAGAATGTAATATACAAAACATTGCACCAAAAAAAATCATTTGATCGGCATCATTTTGAAAATTGAGTTGAGGCCTTAAGATCATTGAGAAAGGTGCCCTTGGTTGGTTGCTTGGTTAGTATATGTCCAAAGGGATATGAACAGGCAATAGAAAATCTCATTCCTTTCTCTTGAAAATATGTGGAAACTCCCCTGTTTCATTTTCAATTATCAACTTTCCCAGAATTATTATACGATCATGTCTGTTCGTGTAGATTAGATAATTCCAAGCTTGGAAACAAAACCTGACAGTCAAATTCATCCACTGCTCAATAGAAAGTAAGCTTTGAAAATAAATCCAACGCATTGTCAACAACAAGCATTAATTTCATCTCTCGATACCTAAGCAGCAACAGATATACACAAACTACGAGTACTTCCCAATTCAGATCAGATAGAAATACGAATGGATTTTCATCAATATCGACTGAGAAAAAGGGAAATCCTCACATTTTGATATGAAGATACGGCGCGGAAAGCTCGATGCAGCGGATTTCACCTGCAAGCAATAGAAAGCCCGCGTAAATTGGCTAAGAAACACATGCGATCTAGAATGAAATTCCTTATATACATGCGAATAGATTGCTCGATTAACAGATCTGATGAAAAGATTACAGAGCGTCCGTCTGACCTGCTTCGCGGCGGCGGCGTTCGAGCGGCGGAGCTTGGAAATGAGCTTCGGAGATGGGGAAGTGCGAGGGGTGGGCAGTTCTTTGTTCTATGACTAGTCCAGAATCCAGATGCGGTTGTTACGCGAATACGGGTCCAATACCGTTCGCCCAATTGAGTCTGTTTAATAAATGGGCTTTGGACAAGTTGAAAGGCATTTCCAAAGTCCAATTGCCCAACTAAAATCCAATTCTAGATTTCTAATGGCCAAATAGCTCCGTTACCCCCTGTGGTTTGAAAAATTGACCCCAATATCTCCTCTGTTTTCCTGAAGTCCCCGTGATTTCAAAACGTTGCATCCACACCCCCTCTGATCATTTTCCGACGAATAGGAGGCATTGGTGCATAATTTTTAAACCATAAGGGGCATTTGTGCCCATTTCTTATTTTTCGTTTATTATTCTTCCCTTTTTTAAAAATATTTTCTATCTTTTTTTCCTTTTCCTAGATTTTTTTAAATATATTTTCAATTTTTTATAATGTTTCAAAAATTTTAAAATTCTTTGTGTTTGAAATGAAAATAAAAATAAAAAAATTAACATATATTACATCTATCTCAAATTAAACATTTTCACTCTTTGCTACTTAGAATAATTTTTTGAAAAGTTCAAAAAAACAAAGAATAAAAAAATAAAAATATGGAAAAACGAAATGAAAAAAAAATTAAAATACGCAAAAAAAGTCTTATACAAAAAAAATTGGACACGCCTAAAAAAGGCCATAGAATTAAGATGCCCAAAAAGGATATTTATTTTTATTTTTGTATTAATTTGTTTCTTATTTTATTCCTCATTTTTTTGAAGTTCTTAAAAAAATTACTTTTTTTCAAAAAAAACAAAAATTGTTAATTTGAGAAGTACATATGCATTATATGTTATTTTTTCAAACAAAAATAACTTTAAATTTTAAGAACATTAAAAAAATAATTTTTAAAAAAACCTTTATTAATAAATGAAACAAAATAAGGAAAAAATGGAAAGAGCAAAAAATATGCGAGAAATAAAAATCAGCATTGATACCCCCTATGGTTTAAAAAAATATGCACCATTGCCCCCCTTCTTCGCCGGAAAAATGACTAGAAAATGATCAGAGAGGGCACGGGTGCAACATTTTGAAACCACAGAGACTTTAGAAATGAGTTTTGAAAACAGAGGGAATATTGGTGCTTATTTTGCAAACCACGAGGGGTATCAGTGTTATCATTCAAAGTTTAAATTTCAATTACTCCCTATTATTTTTTAATTCAAATTTATATTACTATTATTATAACTATTATGAAATGCATCATTTTGAATGGACTCTTTTTTTATTTTTTTAAATTCACAATTTGGTTCAACTATAAAAAATAAACACCAAGTTCATATTAACTCAAAAATCATAATATGTGTTCTGTATAAATAAATAGGGGGCGTTCACGTGCTACACTCCCACCTAGATGGGCAAAGATATAGTTATACTTGTGGGTTGATTCAAAACGAATGTTCTTTTGTGTTAATAAGAATTTCATTCCCTCAAAAATGCATTCCAAGTCCCAACTACAACATGATTTAGTCGTAATAAATAAATTACAAAATATGTAAAATACATGGAGTAAATAAATTTATTTTATATAAATATTTATTCAAAATATAAAAATTCAAATAAAATTAAAGATTAAAAATAATTTACCATTAGAGAATGCCCTAAAATTTACAAAAAAGTATATATTTGAGAAATATAAAAAGATGCGTCCACGTAAATAAAGAGAGAGAAAAATAAAAGCACAAGAACATTGTTGAATGGAATGTAAAAACAATGGAGTAGACGTTCAACAGTGTTTTAATTGTGCGATACTGATGAGTGTATTTCACCCAAGACCGGTCAAAGGAGGAGGACAAATCTTTGACCGGTCAATCTCGAATGTTTTGGAAGGGAGACTTTAATCGTCAGCAAAACGATATATCATCGGCCAAAATATGACCGGTACACTTCACAAAAAGTATACCGGTCAAACTACGTTGTCATCCTATCTGTTCCAGACTTCGATAAATTCATCCCTCGGAGATTACCCGGTGTAGTTTCTGGGGTTGGAAAGTGTCGGCAGGAGAGGATCTGCGAGGGTTTGGCGTGTAGCGACCCGTGTCAGTATAGGACAACTGGAGATGCTGAAGAATCCATCCAAGGAACTACTTGACAAAGGGAATGATCCCCTTCACAAGGCGACAAGGCAGCTTGAGGACGAAACCAGTCACCTCGCACCACATCGGCAGCATGCCCCCGCGTGGGCGCACGTGGTCCTGTCCCCTTAGCCTAGTATAAACTCATGTAAACCTCAGAAAGAGGGATCCGAATTCACTATCTCTAAACTCCCTTGTAAAAGCACCCGTGCATTCTCCGTTATAATATAAATCGGGCTACAGGTGTTCCACCTAAAGTCCTACCGGTCGATTTGCGCGTTTTTACCTTTCTTACTTTGCCAAATCAAGCGAACTATTCTAGACCCGGTCTAGTATAGTTTGACCGGTCAAGTAATTTACACCATCAGATACAGACAATTATCGTTTGTGTTTGTCTGTACGAAGCATGTGTCACTCATGGTAGCACCTATATGGGGACACCCTAGCATTTTCCTTAGGAAATATTATTGCGGAGAATTAAATATATTTTTCTAAATTGTCTTAACACATGTCATTTGACTCTATTTACGTGACAAACGTAGTTGAAATCCATTCCTTTTTACATAGTTCCATCTTCTTCTACAGCATCCTTTCTCTTGGTTCGGAAAAATGTTAGCTCGCTATAGAAAGAGGCAGAAGACAGGGGGAAGAAAAGAAGATAAAGTGATTTCATCAGATTATCGGGTCAGGCCCACTTCATCAGATCTCCTTCTTCTCCCTTCTCCTGTCCTCGTAAAAGTTCTTTTCTTTATGGGGAAATTTCATCTCACTTATTCTGGTGGAGCCTTTAATCTTTGTTGCTGACTTTTCTTCATCATCTAAGGTACAGATCTGTTTTATATCCCACCATATTTTCTTCAGATCTTTTCCACAGTAGCTCAGGATTCTCATGCCCACCAGGTGTTTGTTCATTTGCTATTGATTATTTTGTTTTCCATTTGTTTGTCAAAGCCGTAGATAAGCATTTGATCTTCGTTTTCTGGGGTTTTGTGAAAAGATTTATAGTTTTCTTGGACATTTTTGGGGTTTTGAATGTGAATCTCTCACAGGAAGTGTGTTGCTTAGTAGAGAAGAAAGTTGTTTACTTTCCCCCTTTTTCCTCTTAGGGCGTGTTTGGTTCTAGGGATGGGAGCGAGGGTAAAAGTTCTTCCACCCATTCATTTGGTTCAAAACATTTGGAGACTTGGCTCTTCTCCCTTCTCCCAGACAAAACACGCTCTTGTACTGTGTATAACCCATTCCATCCCCTTCCTTTCCTCGCCCAACAAGCCAAACAACTTTGAAGTAGAACACTCTTCTCTCCATGAACCAAACACGCCCTAATTTTGATGGGAGGGGGGTTTTGATTCTTAAATCTTAATGTTTCTTGTGGATAAAGAACTTGGCTTTTTTGGGGGGACGGAAATGTATCTGTTTTTCTGTATCAAATTAGTTCAGTTCTATATCATATATGGAGCTATAATTAGCTGATTTTTTTTGTACTCTATTTGAGTCTTGATATTATTTGTTGCGTGGAAGAATGGAAAATGATTGTTTAATGTTCAACGTGCTGGTGTGGAAAAAGAAGAAGAATTTATTCCAAGAAAAAAACTCTAATTTCATGTAGGTTAAAGAACAATAACTGCCATTGCAATAACTTCACCATTTTGAGAAGGCTATCTATTGACATCGTTTATCTTTAGTTTTTTCAAAGTGAATTTGTATTAATCAAAAAACTATCCTTCAACATATTACCTTGATTTATTATCCTTTTCTTTTTCTTGGATAGAGAAAGTACTTGTTTTCACTTTTTGGTCAATAGAGGGATAGTGCAGCATTGCAGCCTTGTATCTGCTCTTGTGTTTGAGTCGGGACCTCTTGGAAACAGTTTCTTACACCCTCCCGAACGTTACTTTTTGTGAGATTTTACTTAGTTTTTTGTTATTGTATAGGGATAATGCAGCCGACATTTCTTAACTTTATTCTTAAGCTGCTCTTTAAGCATATATTAAAAGCTGTATCATTTACTGCACTTTTTCTTTTCCTTTATCATGGTGAAAAACACACCTTATCATTCTACTGTTTGCATGCCTTATTTTCTAATTTGTTCTTACATGTTATTGGTCCTATTCAAAGTTGAAAAATCAATCTAACCTCAATTTTTGTTTCGTTCAGCGGACTCTAATTCACCAAAAAGTAAACACGCCCTACACGCTGGGTTCAAGATTCAATGTCGTTCCGTGATATAGTTCGTGACGTAAGGGATAGCTTAGGGAGCTTATCGAGGCGGAGCTTTGAAGTGAGGTTGCCTAGTCACCACAGGGGTAGATCACGCGGCTCCTCATTCCACGACTTCGGTGAACAGCTTGTCGTGATTCAAAATAGCCGTTGGGCAAATCTCCCGACAGAGCTACTTTTTGATGTGATCCGGCGGTTAGAGGAGAGCGAGAGTGTGTGGCCCGCCCGTAAGCATGTCGTTGCTTGTGCTGCAGTTTGCAGGTCTTGGAGGAGCATGTGTAAAGATATTGTCAGAGGCCCGGAAACGTCTGGGAAAATCACTTTCCCGGTTTCTCTAAAACAGGTACTACTTAAATACCTACTACAAGTTTTTACTTTTAGTAAGATATACTCCCTCCGTGTTGTTAAAAAAATCTTTGTTTGATTTTCACAGAGTTTAAAAAGATGTTGAGAAGTAAAAATTTTATGGTTAGCATTTCTCTAGAACAGAGAGTAGAGTTGTGAGACATTCGTTGTTTTCTTGAAAAAGAAAGTGAAGTTTTGAATGACAAAAAAGGAAAGAATGATTTTTTTACATGACAAAGGGAGTTCAATTATGAGACCTTAAATTTTTGATAATTGTTGGTTTGACTAAACTTACCATATTTAACTGTGAAAACACACTATTTGAATGAAGTTACACTAAGCATACTTTTTTTGATGGAAGTATTGTGGCGTTTCAGCTATGATACCCTATTAAAGAACAACTCGACCAAAAGTTCAAGTTTGTGATTGTAGATCTAAAAGGGGATTCTATACTCCAGAATAGTTCGTTGAAATGAGTAATTAAATATGTCTTCATTCGTTCAAATAGGACTCTTTTTTTCAATAGTATAACACGCTTTTAGAGAGGACATTTTTTTCCGGGATCGGATGGAGTAAAATAGATGGCTTCAACCTGATATTCATATTTAAACGACCATCTAGAATCCAAGATGGGTTTGGGTTGTGTTTGAGTAGCTGTAGTAGAATGGAAAAAGTTCGTAGTAGATATTTCTGGATAATAGTAATAAGACTTGATCCCTTACACTGCATTACGTCTTAGGGACTCTTACCAAACACTTTCTTTGAATTCTTGACGAGAGCTGCTAACATGTTAATTTCCATATTCAGCCCGGGCCTCGTGATGGAACCATCCAATGCTTCATCAAACGAGACAAGTCCAATTTAAGCTACCATCTCTTCTTGTGTCTTAGTCCAGGTAACTAGTCCCTATGCTCTCATCTCTAAGGCTCTGTTTGTTTCCAAGAAAATATGATTTTTTTTGGGGTGGGGGGAGGGGGATATCTTTGATGGGGATTATTTTCTAAATTTGTTTGGACTTTTGGGTCGTCACTCGTCTCGTTTCGAACTCCCTGTAGAACTGTGAGAAATATGTCATATTCTTGTATATATAAGTCTTTTTAAAACATGGATGTTTGATTGCTACTTGGCTTTTGTAGCATTGCTAGTTGAAAATGGAAAATTTCTCCTCTCAGCAAAAAGAACACGTCGGTCTACTCTCACAGAGTATGTTATCTCAATGGATGCAGAGAACATCTCGAGATCCAACAGCACATACATCGGAAAAGTGAGGTAGGAGTTCTTAGTCCTTACCCTATGTTTGGTTCAAGGAATTTGGACGGAAAAGAAAAGAAAATGGTTTTCTCTCATTTCCCTCACCAAAAACAGGATGAATTTTGTTCTCCCTCTTAATACATTTTTGCCTTTTCACTTTCTTTTCTTTCTGCTTTTCTCTTCTTTTTCTCTCTGACCAAACAAGAGAATTCATTTTTCATCTCATTTTCTTTTCTTTTCCCTCTCAAATTTCTTGGACCAAACAGTTTTAGTAAACAAACACCCATGTGCCATGTCCTAGTCTGCTACCTCCTTAGCACTTGCTCCATCCATTCTTTACATTGATTTTGTTTTGTCAGCAATTTAATTTCAATTTTATTTTCGTTTACAATGTACATTATATAATGACGTGTTTGTCTATTTCTTTTAACAGATCAAACTTTCTGGGCACAAAATTCTTAATATATGACACACAACCTCCATGTGGGGCACACATCCCTACACCAGCGGGCCGTACAAGTCGCAGATTCTCAAAGAAAGTCTCTCCCAAAGTTCCGACCGGAAGCTACAACATAGCCCAGATCACATATGAACTGAATGTGCTCGGGACCCGTGGCCCACGGAGAATGCAGTGTGTCATGCATTGCCTCCCTGCCTCCTCGCTTGACACTGATGGTATCGTTGAAATTAATATATATTATTGAAAGATTTAATACCTAATTTTAGTTCATAAGTTATATGATGTCAAGAAACAGACTCAACCGCAAGCTCATACTTTAAAACTTTAAAACTGGGTGGTGTTAAAATTCAAACTGGTTGATGTCAATACAAAATTTTGCCATCAAAATGTAAGTGTAAATCTTTGGGGTACGTTTTGGGGTACGATATCTGGGTACACGTAGCATGGTTGAAACTGAAGATTGAACACAAACAATTTTGACCATAAACTGTTTTGGACTTATACAGGTACAGTGCCGGGCCAACCGGAGCTATACCCGAGGCCCATTGATGAATCTTTCCGAAGCGCCAGACTCTCGAAGTCGTCAACAACAGACCATTCTTCCGAATTCGGCAGCGCGAGGTTCTCCGATATTGCCATGTCATCGTTTGCCGAAGACGGCGATGGGAAGGTGGGGCCCTTAGTTCTGAAGAACAAGGCGCCACGCTGGCATGAGCAGTTGCAATGCTGGTGCCTGAATTTCCGGGGGCGGGTGACCGTCGCGTCCGTGAAGAACTTCCAGCTGATTGCCACCGCCACCGCCGCCGCCGGGCAACCTACCACGGGCGTGCCCACCGGGTCCCAACCTCCGCCACCACCGGACCAAGACAAGATCATACTGCAGTTCGGGAAGGTGGGGAAGGACATGTTCACGATGGATTATCGGTATCCGCTCTCGGCTTTTCAGGCTTTCGCCATATGTTTGAGCAGCTTTGACACCAAATTGGCTTGTGAATAAGGAAATACTATGGTTTTTCTTTAGGTTGTTGTTGTACTTATTATTGATTACCACATTAAACTCATTTTTTTTGCTTTGTTTGGTCCCTTTTCCTATGTTTAACAACATAATGTAAGCAAGATCTTTATTTGGTCTTTGTGTTTGTTTTAATCTTGACCAGGTTTCAAAATCTTAGGTGTTGTTTGGCTCAACTTTTTTTCCCTTGTGTGTGTGTGCTTGTTATGGAATGTTTTTTCTTTTTCATTTGACTCAAACTAGCTAAGAAAACTAAAAATACATTGAAAACAATATTTTCAGTTATAGTTTAAGTCTTGGGTAATTTTTAAGTGTTGTACGGAGTAGATAAACTTTGAAAATACTAAAGTTAAGATATTGTTATTAGATAATTGAATCAAAACACTATAACTAAATACAAAAATAATATTGAAGTGCAATTTTTAAATCTGAAAATTTAGATGATTTTAAGAAGTAAAAAAAAGTGCACTCCATAAAACAAGGACCGATGAAATACTTATACGGAGGAGAGTACATAGCAAAGAAAGTCGTCTCATTTTCAGGGGAAAAGATAAAAAATAAAGTTTTTAATGCATAATTAGATAAAATGATTGACAAAATAGACTTATTACATCCATAAAGAAACTCGATATTATAACAAGATTTTTTCCATCCCAAATTATTTTCAAAAAGTTGATTTTACGAAATTTAAGAAGAGTTAGTAAAAACTTTTATGGACCTGAGACACTATGATGGTGTTCCGTTCAACTTATTGTTTTTGCTTATTATTTATTCTTATTATAATCAGATCCGACCAGATCATGTTATACCAGATCAGATTAGAAACAACTTTAATTATAAATGCAATTAGATCAAATGAAACCAGATTAGATTAGACCAAATCAAATAATACCAGATCAGATTAGATCTTTAAAAAATCAGGTGAACAGAACGCAACCATGCTTAATACTCCTTAGCATACTAAAAAAATACAAATTCAATTTAATAAGCTTTCCTCTCGGCTTAATTAACAAGATAATTACCCTAAGGTCCTGTCTGGTACATGGAATTCAAACTATGGAATTAGAATTGAAGAATTCAATTCAAATTCTGGTGTTTGGTAGCACAAAAATTATATGGATTTGGAATTGATAGTACAAAAAATGAATTAGAATTGACAGAATTCAATTCTATAGAATTGAATCTCATGGAATTTTAATTTCAATTCCAATTCCACAAATTTCTTGTACCAAATGGACCCTAAGAATTTTAAATGAGAAATGAATCTCAACCAAATTTCTATCCCAGTAGAGACATTGATATCATAGTGTAATAGATGATTTTAATTATGCATATAAAATTTGATAATTAGCATTAGTATTTTGATAATTCAATTTTCATGATACAGAGTAGATATTGATATTGAATTGGGAATAATATTTTCAATTAGCATTAATATTTTAGATAATTTTTTAATAATATATCATCTTTGAAAATATTAATGGTAAACCCCGTCATTAATCATTTTAGACTAATAGACTATATTTTTCTAGCTTTACACTTCCATTTTCTTTTTTCTAAAAAATTAAACTTACAAAAAACTCTATATTTCGAATACATTTCAACCCCTTCAGGTTGATTAATTTGGAGCCAAAGAGAATAAAAACTCTATCTAAAAACTTTTTTACAGTTTGACTTTCTTTTACCAAATTACTGCACATTTTGGCCATTAATAAACATAGTTTTGAATAAACAAATGTCTGCATTGGTAGCTCAACTTTGTTTATCCTAGGGTCAAATCACAACAGCGGCAATCTGAAAGTCTTATTATTTGTAATAGCTTCTTGTGCGCACTGGGCACGAGGCGGCTTCTCAGGTTTGGGGGCGCTCGGGGTGGGTGTTCCACCTTATTTTTTAAATAAACAAATGTCATAAAAGTTTGTCAATTAAAACTACTATGTACGGAGTATATCTTAAAATAAATCAAACTTTATTAAATTTAGATTATAACTGAATATGATTTTTATACAATTTATGGACAAAGTTATGAGTGTTTTAAAACGGAGGAAATAATAATAATAATAATAATAATAATAATAATAATTGAAAGAGTCAAAATTGTGGTCAGGTGCTCAGGTGGAAACTGGAAAGGGTTGCAAGTTGCAACTGTCCAAGCATTGGCCAACATGACGGAACATGACAAGTTTCAACATGCCATCCAATTTATTATGTGACTAATTAAATACCTGAAAATACTCCCACTAATGTTTTCTCATTTTATTTTTTAAAAAAATTATTTTTGAATAAATTTTTTCATGCCTTTTTTTTAAAAGAAAAGAGAGTATGATCTAAAGATCTAAAATGTTTATGTACTTTTCTTAGACAAGTTCTAAGCATTTTTTATTACCAGTATTTAATACTACATTCGTTCATAAGTATTTTTTCAGTTTTAACTTTTTTCGATCAACTATTTTTAACGTTTTACCTCTAATTAAATAAAATATACGGATTGTATATTGTATATTAATTAGATAAAATAATACTCCGTAGTTTGAAAAAATGTTTGATATAATAAATTTAGTAAAATTATTTTTGTATCAAAATCTACTACTCCCTCTGTCCTAAAACTTTCTTCCCGTTGCGCAAAACGAAGAAAAATCCCAAATTTTTTCAATTTATTTTATTTAAATATTGGTATAGAAATAAAAAATAAAACATACATATTTAAAAACTACATCAAAAATTCAACAAAACAAGTGGTGACAAGAATATGTTATTTTATCATATACGCCATGAAAACACACAAATGAATATAAATTCCTGTGAAGTTGGAATATTGCTCTGGAAAAAAAAATTTAGGACGGAGGGAGTATCATTTTTATTTAATTTGAAGTCAAATTTACTTATTTTGACCAAAAAGAAGTCCGTATTCAAGAACTAAGGAAGTATTTGTTAATTAAAAAAGAATCGGGAAGCCAAAATGCATAAATTAATTTGAATCTAAAAGGGTTGACGTTCTCCTTAATTTATTATGCGCTGTTTCTATTCATTCCTCAATTCATTTTATTTTTATTTTCATTATTTTTGGTTTTTTTTTCTGTAATAACTTCTCAAATACACATTCCCTTTTGCCTCTTCCCATTAATTCCCGACCCAAAAAGAGGGTGGGGGCTTCATGTTCTTCGCCTCTTCGCCGAGCTGTGTAAGGTAAACTTATTTTGCTCCCAAAATCAATTCATTAAACTAATTAATTAATTAATTAATTAATCCTGTTAAGTTCTTGGTGCCCATTTGAATATGACATCTTTGTTTCCAAGTTAAGATTTTTTTTCCCTTTGAATGTATGGAACCGATCGTGTTAGATTTTCTTGATTTGGGGGTTTCATTTTCTTCCATTTCTGACTCTGTTTTTTGATCTTCATATGCTTTTGATTCTCTATACGGCCATCTGGTTTAGGGTTTTGGTTATATATGCTGTGGAATTGCAAAAATTGAATTTCAATCTCTGTGATCTCAATTTGGGGTTTTGAGTTCCATTTCCATGAATCCTGTGGATTTGGGGTTTCGGGCTTCGTTTTCTTGGATCGTGTCGATTTAGGGTTATTTCTCGTTTCATTTTCTTGGATCACGTCGATTCTGGGTTTTAGTTCCATTTTGTTTAGTGCAGTATGTGCATGAGTACTTTTTGTGCTTTCTGTGTTTGAGTCGGGAGTCTTATGGGAACAGTCTCTCTACTTCTGAGTATAGGTAAGGTTTGCGTACACACACTCTTTAATACTACTTTTTTTGCGGGATTTTACTGGGTTTGGTGTTCTTGTATCTAGATTTTGGGGTTTTAGTTTCATTTTCTTGGGACATGTTGGTTTGGGATTTCGAGTTTCTTCTTCAAGAACCACACATTGAAAGATTTGAGAGAAAATGTATGTATTGGGTTTATAAGGTTTTGAATTAGATTAGTTAATTATTGATTGGATTCAATTTCTTTTTAGTATGTTTTTGGTATGGATCAGCCAACTGATTTCATCCTCACTTTGAATAGGTTAGATTTCATCCTCTTAGATTTCAGATCCTTCCCATTTTACTGATTTTGTGTGTGTGTATATGTATAGATTTTGAAGAGATTGTGTGGAAATGCCATCTTCGGATAACAGGAGCTCGTCCTCCCGCCTTCCTTTTGGTTCCTTCCGCCGTGCAATTTTCTCAGTCACGACCGATCAGGTACATTCGCTAGAACCAGTCCGGGAATCTCCCGTTGAAGACTCAGGGTCATTATCGTCTTTTCACAGATTAGTGTCGACCCGGTTCTCCGACCTTTCTACGGCCAATGATGAAGAGTTCCTCTCGATTCCATGGATAAGAAAGCTATTGGATGCATTTGGCGATTGCCACGATAGTTTCCGCACTACCCTTTGGAAAAATGGCGGCAAATATCCCGTCACGAAACCGCCACACGATAAGATTCTCTCGGACTACTTCGACACGAGCATCAAGGCGTTGGATCTTTGCAATGCCGCCCGCGACGGGATCCAAAAGATGAGGGTATGGCAAGGGCATTTGGAAATCGTGGCTTCGGCGTTGGATCCCAAGGAGCGAAGAGCGATCGGCGAGGGGCATTTCCGTCGCGCGAGGAAAGCGTTGACCGATTTGACCCTCGTGTTGGTCGCGGACGACAAGGACTTCTCAAGCCGAAACCGCTCTTTCGGGCAACACAATAGGCCGGCAAAAGACCATTCTACCCCTTCGCCGAGGCACACAAGGTCCTTGTCATGGAGCGTCTCTCCTTCGTGGTCCGCGTCCAAACAACTCCAACTCATCGCCAACAATTTGCTCCACCTCCCAATCCCCGCCCCCAACAACGCCTCCGCGGCGCTCACGTTCACGATGAGCCACGTGCTCTTGTGCGTCTTGTGGGCCCTCGTCGCTGCCATCCCGTGCCAAGACCGGGGCGGGGCCCAAGTCAACGTCCCCGTCCCCGCCCAGTTTGCGTGGGCCCGCCCGCTCCAGGCGATCCATTCGAGGATAACGGACGCGTCCAAGAAGCGGGACCGGAGAAACGCCAACGGGTCGTTGAAGGAAACGGGGCAAGTCGAGAACGGAGTCCATCAGCTCTTGGAGCTGATAGATTCCGGGGAGCGCGGAGAAGAAGCCATGGAAAGGGTGGAGAAGCTTTCGAAGGTCTGTAAGGTCTATCGGACAGAGCTGGGCCCGCTCGAACGCCAATTGAGGGACGTGTTTCGGAAGATCATGACGTGTCGGGCGGAGGGGCTCGAAATCTTGGGCAAGGCAACACAACCATAGCCTGCCCTTAAACAATCTGTTGAATATATATATATATATATATATATATATATATATATATATATATATATTTATTCATATTGTCATATGTTCTGTTCTTTTTGTGTCAAATATAGGGGAAGAAGGAAGCCTTTGAAACAAAATTTGCTGAAATTCTCATTATAATGTATTTTGAAGTTAAAAAACTGTTTGGAAGTCATTTTTTGGCCTTTTCTTCTTCTTCTTCTTCTCTTTTACCTGTTAGGATTAGGTGACCATTTTTTGTATAATGCTAGAACATATGGAGTACTACTTTATTGCTGTTTTTGTGGTCTTGTTTTTGCCCCTTACATTTAGCCGATTCAAGTTCATTGCTCTCTTTATATTCATTCAAAAATAAATAAAAAAATCTCATAATACTAACAAGTTTTAATAAGCAAAGCTTAAACTATCATACCTTTTAAGTTTTAATGTTCCTAATTCTGAAATAAAATAACGAATTAAATAAATCAACAAATAAATATTCAAAAATTAAAATAATCAATCAATTATTTTAAAAAACCAACAATTATACATTAATTTTAAATATTAAACTTAATAAGATAATGAAAATTGTAAGAAATCCTACTATCCTAGCAATTACGAGTAGCAAACAATATGGAGTATTTTTTTTCAAAGACCCATAGTGGCAAAAAGACAAAATCCACAAAAGAATCATCACATATTCAAAAACACAGGAAATTCCAAAATCCAAAGTGACGAAAAATTCTTCAATTATAAAAAATTCATACACAAGTGATTTGCATGGGAGGAGGAGTCCACTCCGGTCAAAGATTTGCAGAAGAAGTGAGTGCAAATTTGCTGATTTCAGTGATTTGAGAAGGGTAGAAGGCACCACTAGAAGCAGTCACGCCGAAACTGAATGTTTAGGTGATTGCACTAAAGGCAGATGCTGAGATTTAGAAGGTGATTGGTTTTCTTGTACGATTTTTTTTTTTGGGGGGAAGGAGTAAAACGACGTCGTTTTATTACTTGTTTTTAATAATAAAAAAAAAGAAGCCAGCCAGCTGTTCTCCATTCTCAACAAGAGTTTAAAGGCTCAAAGACCAAACCAAAATACGGAGTAAGAAGTTGCAGGTTTGCAGCGGCAAGTCGGGGGGCACAACCAGAGATTTACATCGGCGGCACTCCACCGGTAGTACTATGCCTGAAAATCGCCGGGGGGGGGGGCAAGTGCCCCACCGTGCCCCCCTCTCCTCCGCCCCTGATTTATGTGACTTCTTGTTTTGCGTATTAGTATAAAAATTATATATATGTGTGTGTGTGTATATATATATATTACTCCGTACATATTTAAAAGTTACATAAAAATGAGTTTAAGATCATAGTAAAAAAATAAAATAGAAGAACAGAACGAAAATGCTTACTACTCCCTCCGTCCCATTTTATAACGCCTGTTTCGGTTTACGATGTTTGACTGAAATTATTTTCAAATTATTTTATATGACAAATTGTATATAGTTAAAAAATAAAAATTACATATTAAAATACTATTTCAAAAGATCTACAAAATTAATAGTGACAATAATATTTTATTTTATCAAATTGGTAACGAAAATAGAGAAAGAAAGTGAATAAAGTTTGATAATGTGAATAGTGAACATACATTATAATTTGGGACGGAAGGAGTAGACAAAATTGCAGAAATGCCAGTTGGTTTCAGCTGTCCAAACAACTGGATGGAAAGTGATTTTTTTACGGTGGAAAGTGTGTTATTAGTTGCCAAGTGAAAATGAGAAAGGTCAGATAGGTGGTCAACGAAGGAATTAAAAGCATTGCGGCACTCAAATTGACAAAATGAGAGAAAAAAAGAATAATTCAGGCGAGTGCCAGGACACATATATCTATTGATATTAAGGGGCTGTTTGACAACTTCTGAATAGGTAAGTGCTGAATCAGTAAGAGGTCTGAATCATTAAGTGCTGAACCAATAAGAGGTCTGAACCATTTAAAGCTAGTATATTGCATAACTATTTAGAGGCAAATGTCTGATCAATTCAGATAAGAGGTCTTAACCATTCAGACTCTGTATAATACTTAACCATTCAGAGGTAAATGTTTGAACCATTCAGACATCTGCTCACGAAACAAACAGTCTGAATCATTAAATGCTGAACCATTCAGACATCTGAACCATTAAGAGGCTGAAACAAACAGCCCCTAAATTTAGATACATAATTTATAATCAAAGTTTAAAAGCATTAACAAAAAAATGTAAACTCATATACTCATATAAAGTGTAAAATTTGACTCCAAAGTCAACTACATCTTGTGAGGTGCAATTGACGGGGGAGGAGGGGTTGGGTCGGATCGGGCCGAGTTGGGGGGTTTATAGGGGGAGTTAGAGGAGGTAGGAATAATCAATTTTTCGAACTGAGAACCGTAGGGAATAGAGACATGCCTTTGCTTTTAAAATCAAACTCTCTCTAACTAACTAATACTCCCTCCGTCCTAATTCTTTCTTCCCAGTTTGACTTTTCCTCATTTTTAATTTTTGGCTTTGACATCAAATTTTACCCTCCTTAAAAAAGGTTTTTTGAACTTTTTTTTGCAATCATTCAAAATATAGAGTTAGAAGATAATTGGTGTAAATACATGAAGGTATTAATGTCATTTGTCATCTTTTTTTTCTAATGGGAAGGTAGTTTTAGGATGGAGAAAAAAGGGAAGTGAGAAGAACATTTTAGGACAGAGGGAGTATTGATAAAGAAAGCAATCAAGTTTTAAACCATGTGAATAGAAAATAAGAAATTTAATTTACATAGGTGAGTAAAGTTCCTAGAAAGGTTGTTTCTCGCACTAACATGAGTCCTTATGATTTATGATAGTACCTTAACTACCTTTATCCTTGAGTACTCCCGATTTTGACTTTTTTCAGTCAGCTTTTCTCTCAACCTTGACCTATAATTAAGTCAAATACTCCGTATATATTATATATTTTCTCCGTTCCAAATTATAATGCCTGTTTATTATTCACAGGGTCAAACTTTATTCACTTTCTTTCTTTATTTTTATTAGCAATTTGATAAAATAAAATATTATTGTCACTACTAGTTTTGTAGATCTTTTGATGTAGTTTTTTACTATGTAATTTTTATTTTTTAATTCTATACCATTTGTCATATAAAATGGTTTGAACATAATTTCAGTCAAACATCGTAAACCGAAACAGACATTATAAAATGTGACGGAGGTAGTATTAATTAGGTAAAATAATACTCTAAAAATATTTTACATAATAAAACTACTTTTATATTAATATCTAATATCATTTTTATTTAATTTGAGATCAAAGTTTACCAATTTTGACAAAAAAATAAAAAGTGAACAAATACTCAAGGGCGGAAAGAGTATTATAATACGAGGTACTTCAGTACTTGTAACTAAAACACAAATTTTTACAAATAGCCACCTATTTAAACAAAAACTGATAAGCTAAAGAACAAAAACATACCTACATTTTTTTTTGCAAAAAAATAGCCAAAAATATGGAAGTAAATATTATTAAACACTAACTTGATCAAAATTTTTGTCTAGCAATAACTCTGGTATCTAACCACGAACACCTTCCTTTGAGAGCCCCAACATTTTTTGACGCCCTGTGCGTGTATACTTCTCAGATGCCCTTCCACTCTGTATCTCCAGTGAACAAAGGGATGGTTGGGAAAGTTGGGTGTACCTTTTTAGTCCTCGTCGAAGCCGCCACCGCCGCCGTCCATATCATCATCGTAGCCGCCGCCGCCGCCCTCGTCCATATCGGGTACATCATCACCACCATCATCAACAACTGCATCAGCCACATCTGTATCCATATTGCTCGCTTGTGCGTCGCGCATCATTTTTTGTGCTTCTTCTGTTGCCCATTTTGAGTCCATATCTTTGTCAGTGAAAAGGTTGTCGTAGGGCTTGGAGACCTAATAGGCAAGGACAGTTTAGCAGACATGAATGGCACAACATTTCAAAACAAAAAAAAATGCTGAAATAGTTGAGAATGTCTCGTTACAAAATTGGTATCCTAATTTACTCCTTCCGTCCCAATGAAGTTCATGTTGCAGTTTACCGTGTTTAACTGAGATTATTTTCTAGTTGGAAATTGGTGCGGAATCAAAAGATAAAATTTATAATTTTAAAAACTATATAAAATACAAAACACATGACTATTATTCTATCAAAAAACAAACCCACTTTCAAAGAGACATCCACTCTGAGTAATACAAGCAAGCAAGTTGAGAACCGAAAGATCATAAAGCACAGAACACCGAAAAAGAGCAGCAAAGAGCAAACTAAGGTGAATGAAAAGAAAAAGCAATAAGTAGAAACACTAAGCAAATAAAGCACAGAATGACCACCAAGCCCAAAAGGCCTGAAGTCTTAAGTCATGACTAATCACCTCCGTCCAAATCATTCTAAATCTACCCCTTCCCCTACTTCTGCCCACCACCGTAAGCAACTCACACCTCTGCAAGGGAGTCTCAATGCCCTGCCACCTCACATGCTCAAACCACCTAAACAAGGCTTCACATAGCTTATCATCAATGGGTCTCAGTCCTACCGGTCCTCGAATAACCTCATTTTGAATCCTACCAAATCTCCCGCGTGTCTACTCATTCGCCGCAGCATCCACATTTCTACAACATGCAGTTGACAAACATGGGTCTTTTTAACCATGCAACACTCAGCACTATGCAATAATATTTTGTAAAATAAATAAGAAAAGAAAGTGGATAGAATTTAACCATGTGAATGGTAAACATGAACTTTTTTAATGCTATCGAACTTCTATCAATTATTCTATTAAGTCCCCAATCTTTTGTTTTGTTTTATTTAGCCCCTAAACTTCTATATTTACCCAATCGAGCCAATGTGAATCCTTTTCAAACATGAGGCTTTAAATTAGGGAAAAAATCACACGAATGCTCTGAGATTTGACAATTTATACAATATTACTCGGAGTCTCGGACATTCTCTTTTGCAGACCAATACCCTTAAAGATCATCAGATTTTACAATGTTACTTTAGTCTAGCTGAGTCAATTTCTGACAATCACGTGAAATTATGTTGGTTGACATGGCATCAAAAATATTGAGTTGACAACACATCTAAAGGAATGAACTTAT